CGTTGAATAAGAAATGTTTCTTTCACAAGAAATGTATAAAATTACAGTACTGTATTAGACTTACGGTACCTAATTTACATACTGACAGACGATAGTTAGCGTAAAAATCTCCGTAGCGTGGCGCCACGCTAGACGGCGGAAATTATATATTTAATTATAACAAAGTTACAATAAGTTAATATATAATTATATATACAGTACCTAATTTATATATAATTAATATATAATTATATGTACAGTACCTAATTTATATATAATTTATATAATACTGTCCAGACGATAGAAATCTCTCCGTAGCGTGGCGCTACGGACGGCGGGAAAGTAGTTCGGCTTCCCGATGACGTTTGAGGTGTTTATAGGGAACTTTTACTATTTTTTACGGATACCGGTAGCAATTTTTTCGTAGTTTTATAGGAATCGTAACTATAGGGACCGTAATTATAGGGGGGTCGACTGTATATATTATTGGTAAATATACTCTAGTATTAAGGTATTTTCTTTTATATGTGTTTATATTAGACCTACTTATTACCTTATTTATATTCATCATTATTGTTTGTATTTATATAATATTAGAGTATAATACTTTATTCAAACGAAAATAACAAAATTTTAAGAAAATTGACTATTGATTAATATAAAGAATTATTCAATTATATTTCAGCAACCAAATTTCTAATAAAATTATTTTTTCAGTTAATTAACAAATAATTTATAATCTGTACAAAATGTTCACTATACTTAAAAGTAAATGATGAAAGATGCGATATAATACTGTATATATATAGAAAACAATTAAGTGAAGACTACAGAGTATTATGAAAATTAAATGGATTAATAAAAATCTTTTATTTTAACTAGTGATTTTTTATTAAGTTCTGAAACCTTAATCAACCGTAAATTTTGGAATATTACAAAAATGCATTGCTTAACAAGCAATAACGATTGAGAGTTAAGCGCCTTAATTAAATAAAAAATGTTGAATACATCGTAAAGGAAATATTCCTAAACAAAACAGCAAACATTTAGAGAGCGTTTATATAATACCATGTAGAGTAATTTCAGATTATTAATTTCGAATACTTACTTACAACAGTTAACCGAGCAGCGGCTCTTATTGGTTTGTGAGTTTTACTTGGACCAACCTAAAAAATTAATATATGTAATAAATGTTTTAACAAAAATATTTAAGCAACTAATAATTTTAAACAAGGATTTAAATAAATATTTATAAGAATAAATTCTGTTCTTACCTGACACTGAAATTCAGCTTCGTCTTCTAAGCGGACATCTTCAATTCGTAAATTATAAACACCTTGGATAATATTTATTATCATAAAATATCGAGGATATCCCGGAATGTTTCGTTCAAAACCTAATAATATAATTTAAAGTGCTTTATTAATTAAACTTAAACTTAATCAATAAACATTACTGAATTTTACTAGTGTAATAAATAATAGTTTTAGTTGATAATTATAATTCAATACTAATTTCTAAACATTGTTTTATATTTACTAAATTTCGATTAAATTTCACCCATATGTTCTCGTTGATTTTGATAATTCTTGTATATATTATAGAACCAGGGTGGCCAAGCTCCTTGATAGTCCGAGCCATTTTTCAAAATTTGAAATTTTTCGCGAGCCGCAATTAAATACGCATTAAAAAGGTATGCAAAAAATTCCAGAATACAAATTATATCCGTAGCAAGAGTGATACAAATTGTTACCTCCAGAGCACAATGTCAACTGTCCGTTGCAATGACAGTTTACAAATTCAAAATCGGTCTGGAGTCGGTCGATAACGGACGATTACGCCACTGTTTATGTTCGTTCGCGCAGTTTTCGATGAGTCATATCATTCTTAACTTGGATGGAAATGAAATTTGTTACAACGTTGCACTAAGTCTTTCATATTTGTTGTTAGTAATTTAAAAGACATTTTGAAACACATACGGAACGATAATAATTTTTTAAAATATAATAACACAAAAATGAAAATGGAACTCGGGTACATCTATCGAGAGCCACAAATAATCCTTCAAAGAGCCGCATGTGGCTCGCGAGCCGCAGGTTGGCCACACCTGTTATAAAAGAACAAAAATTAAGAGAAAAGTCTTATCTCTACATAAGAAAATTTTTAAATATAAAATAAGCTTTCAAACTTATGCATATTAAACAGTGACTTTACAATTTCATCTAAAAACACTTTATCCGATTTGAATTTAACCAACCTGAACACACTTATCGTAAACATAATCAAAAATACCTTGTATATTTTTATCGACTTTTTGAGAAATTTTCATGAGTCAATATTCTCGTGAATTTTTCAAAATTCCTTGAAAAGAACGAAATTAAATAAATAACCCTACAATACATAAATATATATATAAGTATATATTTTATTGCATGTTATTATAGTGAAAATCAATATTAAGTTTAGTTAATTTACGTTACATTAAGTTACATTAGTTTGCATATCTCTCAAAAAGTCTCTTTAACAGAATAACTTCTAAGGGACTGTGTACAGACATACGACCATATTGAAGCTATTCTTACTGCCACTATTCCATTTTATCATTAAAATAAGTATCATACAATCAGTAGTTAATTCACACTACAAATATACATATCCGAATACTTTCGTCAAAAATCCTCTTCAATTTGACGAAACACTTTTTTATAAGAAGTGTTTTCAGGTTAATTTCATTCAAATCGAATATATATTTCTGTATAAAATTGTAAAATCAGTTTTAAAATCCCCATACACACTAGCATTCATACATACAGAAAAAACACCAAATTTTTGCATTTCTCGAAGTTTGAAGGTCTCGCTTCCAAAAATGAAAAAGTCTTGGGGTGGTCATTTTATCACTGATCGCCATACTTTCCTCTGTTATATATGACAGAACCGGGAAAGTAAAAATTATATGTTTCGGTCATTAGAAGATGGATTTGTTTGTTTGAGACCAATAGCCTGCAATAAAAGCTCAGAGGTTCGTAGCTGAATTTGTTTTCTTTCTTCTTGCAGATTTCCGAAAAGTGCAAAGTATGGTAAATGTACGACTGAAGATATGAAACAGGCTCTTGCTGCATTTCAAAATGCAGACTTTGGATTAAATGGTGCCGCTGTGCCAATGTTTCGTGCCGATAGCGTCAAGTACTGCCAATTCTGGATCGAAACAATGAAAATCACAAAACGCAGCAAAATTATGTGCATTTTCTCGCAAGAAGGCTTCAAAATTCCCAATGAGCATTCCAAAGTAATGAACATGAAAAATAAAAGATAGAAAAAGCATTTACAGTCAGCAGAATCTTGGAATGTTGTCTGTGCACACAGGCACATGAAGAAGACATCATCTAGTATTTCAGTTGTAAAAAAATAAATGGATTCACGAAAAATGCGCGGGCATTAACGAACAGAAAAACATTTTTTTTAAAATGACATCTGGAATTTACGTAATATTTTCTAATCCCTATTATTCTGTATCTGGTCCATTAATGGAAAACACCTGATCCATTCAATGAATCACTGGTTCATTGAATAGATGAAATGTCCACGAATCGAAACTTTTTAAAATGATTATATTTGATTTTATAGCAAAACTATTTTTAGTTGATATCTAATAATGTGCTGAGATGTGAAAAATTGCATAAAAAACATTGTCAATATTTTCTTCATATTTTATAATGCGTTAGTTTTCAATTATTGAGGGAAAATGATTAACAGGTCAATTAGATTAATACATATATTTCCCTGTACATGAAATGTTATAAATATTAAAAAATTAATCATAAAATACGTATAGAGGATTGCAGTAGCAGACGTTATAAAACATTACTACAATTTTCTATATGTATTTTATGATTAATTTTTTAATATTTATAATACATTTTCTTATAAAATATTAACTACATACAGGAAAACAGGCCTGACAAACTGATACGGAAACTGATCTATTATACTTTTGCGAATTAAATTATCGATTATCTACTGCCACATTTTTATTGTTTTGCGAAACTTTATTGGCCCATTCTTATAAAATTATGTTGCAAAACGTACTTATATTTATTTATTGAAAATAGCTGACGTTTCAGGTTATCTTTTTTTTTGTAAAGATATCAAGACGTTAAAAATTAAACAGAAGCATTTGTCTTTCGCTATAACAAGCAGCAATTTATTTTCATTTTTAGTAAAAGTTGTAAGCCTTGTTTCTCTTTGGCACATTCATCTTGCACACAGCTAAAATTATTTAGGTTTGTTCAATATCTGTATTTGCTTTTTCACTATGTTGCGATTAGAACGACCACATGTTATCTCATCGAGCGATCAACTCATAGCAATAGTTAAAAAATTTTCGCTGAAAAATATGGAATTGATATTCTCATAGAAATTACACAAGCCATACTATCCAAGAATTGACCGAAAATGGAAAATGATGCTGTGATCGATCGATTGCTCGCGATCAATTGTTGATTATGCCTGATATAAATATATCAGGCATAGCATTCTTGGATAGTATGGCTTGTTGAAATACGAAAAACATTTGTAATTTCTATGAGAATATCAATTCCATATTTTTAAGCGAAAATTTTTTAACTATTGCTATGAGTTGATCGTTCTATGAGATAACGTGGTCGTTCTAATCGCAACATTATATTTCTTAAAAAGTTATATTTAAAAAATATAATTTTCTTTTTCTCTTATTCTTAATTTTGTTTTCCACCCATTTTCTTTCCTTCCAATAAAGTTCAAATATCCGTATAGAGAGAAATCTCGGTCAGAAGCTCTCCTCTCCAGATGAATGAGTGTTACGGTTACTGAGAAAAACACCTTACGACCCGAATTTTAATGGCCAATTATTTATTTCACGCACATAAAGATTGCACCAGGTTCGTATAGTGACCAAACGTGAATTTTCTTTTCTCTCTCTTCACTCCAGACGACATTTTTCGTCTACTTTCTTTCCTCCTGTTCTTTGGCAGTCCGACGAGGCTCCCTCTTCTCTTCCTGGCTTGGAAAATCGTTAGGAAAATTGTTTGGACAATCATTAGACTTGGATTCTCCAAGCCTAACGATTGTCCTAACAATTGACTCTGATAAACTGATTCCCGGTAACACATCCTTCCAAGTGGAAGACAACTTTGTCTTTAGAACACTCTTGTTAGGCCTATTTGACATTTCCTTTGCATGGTAACACAAAGGGTTGTTAAAAATAGTTGTTAATTAACTATAAAGTTCAATTATTAACTAAATTAATTAAAATGTAATTAATTCAATTATATTTCTTCATGTTCATCAATTTTATAAAAAGAAACACGTTATTCTAAGCTCAGTTTACGATTCATATTCACAATTGTAACAGGAACATACAAAACAAAAAACAGAACGAACCGACTAATTTGGGCCACCCTGTATAAAATGCAGGGTGACACAAATTTAATTTAGATTCTAGTTCATTTTTATTTAAATTTAAAGTTAGACAGTTAGACATTTAAATTTTTATTCATTTTTATTTAAATTTTATAATGTCTACGTTATAGTTTGCAAAGCTTAATATTTCTTTGGCCAAAGGTGGGTTCTGTGGTTAGGATGAAATTTGTGCTGATGGTTAGACAAACGATTTTCTCCATAACTAGTCCTTCTGATGGGAAAAGTTGAAAGGTGAAATTTAAAAAGCCAATTTGTACTGCCGATAGGACATATGATCCAGCAATAGAGACATGGAAACTCTGAAAACAGAGTACCAGAAAGCTGGAAATCATATTTTATTAATTAGCAGCAGCAAACAACTCTGTATATTTCTATATAACTTACTGTACAACGCACATTCCACGTGTAGTTTTGTTTTTCATATTCCACTTTACACGCACGAGCCACCGTTCTGCACATAATGGACTGTTCCCAAGCAGTTATCTGTGTTCCAGTTATCATAGTTGTTATTTGAGCAAGAATTATCGTTGTTACGGTGAAAATAGATTTCCCGAACGCTCATACGCTCGCCGGAAAGAATGCTGGTTCCAACATCTTTGCATCAGGCTTCCAAGTAAAAGAAATTATTTGCTTCTGCACGATGTACGATATAATATGGAAAAGATTCTGCCCTTCTATAAAAAACTAGTTGGCATATTACAAGAGCCTAAAGTTAACGTCTACTCGTAGGACCACTGGTCCTTCATTTAGGTAGGTCACTGATCAAATAATCATTAACTCCATAATATATTTTAACATATTTAAATATCAAAATAAGTAAAATCATTCAAAAATTAAAATCATGGCCATAATTAATAAAAATTAATTTATTACTACTAGAATTCTGGAAACGATTTTTATAATGTAGGCTAAATAACTGTGCGTACTTGTTAAAGAATATATGTAAGAATGATATGACATGAAATTTTTAATCTACAATAGACAATTACTAATTGCTTTTTTTGTCTTGGAATCAAATTGCTCAATCGTGTTTCACAATTTAATGATATAAATAACACTTTTACTAATATATTTACGAATCAAATTTTTATAAATTATTTATGGAGTTTAGAGGAATATTATTCAGAAAAGCTAAGGAAGTGATCATATTTATAAAATAAAATCAGATAAAAATATTATTAATATAAAAGG